CACAGAATTGTTACTGAGGGCCACAGAACCGTTACTTAGGGCCACAGAATTGTTACTCAGGGACACAGAATTGTTACTGAGGGCAACAGAACCATTACTTAGGGCCACAGAATTGTTACTCAGGGACAGACACAGAATTGTTACTCAGGGACACAGAATTGTTACTGAGGGCCACAGAACCGTTACTTAGGGCAACAGAAACGTTACTCCGGGACACAGAATTGTTACTGAGGGCCACAGAACCGTTACTTAGGGCCACAGAAACGTTACTCAGGGACACAGAATTGTTACTGAGGACCACAGAATTGTTACTTAGGGCCACAGAATTGTTACTCAGGGACACAGAATTGTTACTCAGGGCCACAGAACCGTTACTTAGGGCCACAGAATTGTTACTCAGGGACAGACACAGAATTGTTACTGAGGGACACAGAATTGTTACTGAGGGACACAGAATTGTTACTGAGGGCCACAGAACCGTTACTTAGGGCCACAGAAATGTTACTCAGGGACACAGAAATTGTTACTGAGGGCCACAGAACCGTTACTTAGGGCCACAGAATTGTTACTCAGGGACAAGACACAGAATTGTTACTGAGGGGCACAGAATTGTTACTGAGGGCCACAGAACCGTTACTTAGGGCCACAGAATTGTTACTCAGGGACAGACACAGAATTGTTACTCAGGGACACAGAATTGTTACTGAGGGCCACAGAACCGTTACTTAGGGCCACAGAAACGTTACTCAGGGACACAGAATTGTTACTGAGGGCCACAGAACCGTTACTTAGGGCCACAGAAACGTTACTTAGGGCCACAGAATTGTTACTCAGGGACAGACACAGAATTGTTACTGAGGGACACAGAATTGTTACTGAGGGCCACAGAACCGTTACTTAGGGCCACAGAAACGTTACTCAGGGACACAGAATTGTTACTGAGGGCCACAGAACCGTTACTTAGGGCCACAGAAACGTTACTCAGGGACACAGAATTGTTACTGAGGGCCACAGAACCGTTACTTAGGGCCACAGAAACGTTACTTAGGGCCACAGAATTGTTACTCAGGGACAGACACAGAATTGTTACTGAGGGACACACAGAATTGTTACTGAGGGACACAGAATTGTTACTGAGGGACACAGAACCGTTACTTAGGGCCACAGAAATGTTACTCAGGGACACAGAATTGTTACTGAGGGCCACAGAACCGTTACTTAGGGCCACAGAAATGTTACTCAGGGACACAGAATTGTTACTGAGGGCCACAGAACCGTTACTTAGGGCCACAGAAACGTTACTTAGGGACACAGAATTGTTACTCAGGGACAGACACAGAATTGTTACTGAGGGACACAGAATTGTTACTGAGGGCCACAGAACCGTTACTTAGGGCCACAGAAACGTTACTCGGACACAGAATTGTTACTGAGGGACACAGAATTGTTACTCAGGGCCACAGAATTGTTACTCAGGGACAGACACAGAATTGTTACTCAGGGACACAGAATTGTTACTCAGGGACACAGAATCGTTGAATTAAAGAGTATGTCAGACAACATGCAGAGGAGTGGCAGAGGAGGCAATGTTTTAGGAGCGAGCAGACGTGGCAGCAGAGGAAGGGGTCGAGGCAGCACTATTCGCAGCCAGAGGCCAGTGCTCCCGGTGTCATCCAGCGGTCGTGTCTCCACCGACAACCCTGCCGTCATCGATTGGTTGGCTCGGTCGTCTTCCTCTTCCCAGGTCACCTCTGACACCTACAGCCAACGGTCGGTGTGTACGTCAGACACAACCGTTAGTTGGCATGGCCCGGGAGCAAGCCCACTGAAATCACGTGTCCTCTACCTGCCCCTGTCCTTTGCTGTTCCCTCACCAAGCGAAGTATCGCATGCTGTGGGCTCAGCCCCACTGTACAGTGAGGAAGAGCTAACAGAGGGCGGTCAGGAACGGGGGGAGACATCCGCCTTTTCAGCAGCCAGGCGAAGAAGTACTGGCGAGGAGAGTGGCTCGGTAGCCGGTCTAGAGACAGGTCTGTCTCCTGACCCAGACGCAGCCGAGGGGGCTAGTAGTGAGGCGGAGACCCTACTTGATGATGAGGAGGTTGATCGCACTTGGCAGCCTCGTCGTCATCAGGCAATTTCTTCCGCATCATCAGGAGAAGAGGGTGCCAGCTTGGCAGCGAGCGAAACAGTCGGTGGGTTGCCCAGGAGGCAGCAGGGTCGCAGCAGTGTCAGTGGAGCCAAACGGCCACGGAGTAGAGCACCAGCTCCACTGCAGCCTACCACCACGGCCAGTAGTGGTGCCGGTGCGCACGGAGGAAGTAGCAGTCAGCCAGTGAGGAGTAGCGGGGGCAAAGTTTCCTACTCGGCGGTGTGGCAATTTTTCGTCAAGCCGCTAGCCGTATGTGGACTGTGGCCAGAAAGTCAAGCGTGGCCAGGGGGCCCATTTTGGGACTACAGCGTTGCGTCAGCCCAATGCAGCGTCGCCATTTGGTGGCCTGGGAAAACCGTGATAAAGATACGGCGGTTCTGCCTGATCCATCACCCGCTCCGTTACTTGCTCCGTCACCCGACGTCAATCGCCCTCTATCAGCCAGTCAAGGCTCCAACACCTCTGCTGAGGGGAGTTGTCGCTCGTTGGCATCTTCCGCTCGTTCAGATGCTCCTTCTCCTGCTACTCCTCTTCACGGATTCCGTCAGCAGTCTTTCTTGGAATCCGTTTCCAAGAGACAACAGTTTGCGAGCACGCACCCGACGGTGCAAAAGCTGAACGTCCTCCTGTCCAAGTTGCTGGTGCTGCAGTCCCTCCCTTTCCAACTGGTGGACTCAGCACCTTTCCGAGAAATGATGGCTTGTGCCGCGCCGCGGTGGAGAGTGCCAAGCCGTCATTTCTTCGCCCAAAAGGCAGTGCCAGCCCTGCATTCACATGTAGAAGAGATGGTGGGCCAGTCTTTGAGCATGTCGGTCTCTGCCAAAGTGCACGGCAGCGCCGACGTGTGGAGCTGTAACTACGGTCAGGGACAGTACATGTCATTTACGGCCCACTGGGTGAACGTGGTGCCGGCACAGCCGCACCAGCAACTTGGACAGGTCACGACGCTTTTGCCTCCACGTTTGCACGTCCTTGGTCCAGCAAACATGTCCGCCTCTACCACCTCTTCTTCCGCCGTGTCCTCAGCCGCCACCCCCGTGCCAAGTCCCATTACCCGACCGGCATATCACATGTGCAGGGCGCAACGGTGTCACGCTGTGCTGCACCTGGTATGCCTTGGCGAACGTAGTCACACAGGGGAGGAACTTCTGAGTGTAATGAACAGAGAAATCGACAGATGGCTGTCTCCGCGCAAACTGAAAATCGGAACCATGTTGACCGACAACGGAAAGAACATGGTGTCTGCTCTGCGTCAAGGAAGGTTGTGCCATGCGCCATGCATGGCTCACGTGTTCAATCTGGTTGTCAAGCGGTTCCTAAAATCCACCATCCCACTGCAAGACATCCTTAAAATGTCACGTAAACTTTGCATGCATTTCAGCCATTCCTACAGCGCAAAGCACACCCTCCTTGAGCTGCAGCGGCAGAACGGAATTCCACAGCATCGCCTGATCTGCGACGTTGCAACAAGGTGGAATTCAACCCTACACATGTTAGACCGCCTTTACGAGCAGCGAAAGGCCATCACCGATTTCCTGATGTTACAAGCGGATAAAGGTACTCCCCTGTGTAACTTCGATGTCAGCCATTGGCAGCTCATGCGTGACACCTGCCGCTTGCTCAGGCCCTTTGAGGAGGCCACGCTATTCGTGAGTCGGCAGGACTATGGGATGAACGACGTCATTCCTCTGTTGCACGTCCTGGAACAAATGCTGTTAACAATGGCTGGTCAGGGTGCGGTAGACGTGGCGCACAGATCTCAACGCCACATGACCCCTGTGGGGGCAGGACAGGAAGAAGAGGAGGAGGTAGAGGAGGACATTTGTGCTCAGGAATTATTGAGTGAAATGGGTGGTTTTTCCACTCAGCGGACAGGAGTGGAGGAGCAGGAGCATCTGGTAGAGGAGGAGGAGACAGAGGACCCAGACGCACCGTGGCAGTATGCTGTGGAGATGGAGGCAGGGAGTCCCTCGCATTCCTTGGCACAAATGGCCCATAGCATGCTCGGTTGCTTGCGTAGCGACAGCCGAATAATAACCATCAGACAGAGGGATGACTTTTGGCTGTCCACCTTGTTGGACCCTCGCTACCGTTCCAAAATGGTGGCCTTTTTCACACCTGCTGAGAGGGAGGCCAAAATTACGTACTATAAAAACCACCTATGTAGTCAGTTGGTCTCTGCCTTTCTGCGCCAACGTCCATCCTCAGACACTGTGGGCCCTGTGCGCTCGCGTTCCGCTGCCATGGCAGCAGGGGAGGGGTGGGGTGGTGGTAGGAGCAGTGGCAGCTCCACCAGCAGCGGCTGCCTCAGTCTGCAGTCGATGATGAGTAGCTTTCTTCACCAGCGCAGTGAGGAAACTACTAACCAGCCGCAGCAGCAGCAGCAGCAGCAGCATCAGGTGGACCTGGAGCAGGAGCTCAAACAACAGGCTTGGGCCTACTTGGACAGCACCCTGCCAACCGAGGTAGACAATCCCCTTGACTACTGGGCAACGAAACTTGACCTTTGGCCCCAACTAGCTGAATTTGCCCTTGAAAGGCTGTCATGCCCGGCCAGTAGCGTGGCATCGGAGCGCGTGTTTAGTGCGGCAGGAGGTATTGTAACGCGGAGGACACGACTGTCCACCCAAAGTGTGGAGAGACTCACGTTTGTGAAAATGAATCAGGCGTGGATTAGTCTGGATTTCAAACCACCAGTTCCTGACACAACTGACTAAATCCGCCATGAATCATGCCCCAAACATGTGCCACTTTCAGGTCTCCGCACACTGCTGCTGGGTTCCATTTTGTCATAGGGTGCTGGCAGATTACGGGCCTCCCATAGCTGCTGCCAGGCCCCTAATCTGCCATGGGCCCCTGTACCGCCTCCTCACGCTGCTGCAAGGTCCACAGTGTCTCATGCCATGGGTCCCTTTAGGCCTCCCATTGCTGCTGCCAGGCCCCCATTGCCATGTCCCCCGTACCGCCTCCTCATGCTGCTGCCAGGTCCACTCTGCCATGTGCCACTTTCAGGTCTCCTCACACTGCTGCTGGTGTGTTTCATTTTGTCATAGGGTGCTGGCAGATTACGGGCCTCACATTGCTGCTGCCATTGCCCCATGGCCCCTAATCTGCCATGGGCCCCCTGTACCGCCTCCTCACACTGCTGCTGCTGGGGGTCCCTGTACCCTCCCATTGTGCTGTCATGGGTCCCTGTCACGGCCTCCCATGCTGCCCACTCTGCCATGTGCCACTTTCAGGTCTCCTCACACTGCTGGTGTGTTTCATTTTGTCATAGGATGCTGGCAGATTACGGCCTCCCATAGCTGCTGCCAGGCCCCTAATCTGCCATGGGCCCCTGTACCGCCTCCTCACGCTGCTGCTGGCCAGGTCCACAGTGTGTCATGGGTCCCTGTACCGCCTCCCATTGCTGCTGTCTCCATGCGCCACACTCTGCCATGTGCCACTTTCAGGTCTCCTCACACTGCTGCTGGGTTCCATTTTGTCATAGGATGCTGGCAGATTACGGGCCTCCCACATGCTGCCCAGGCCCCTAATCTGCCATGGGCCCCCATGTACCGCCTCCTCACGCTGCTGCAAGGTCCACAGTGTGTCATGCCATGTGCCACTTTCAGGTCTCTGCTGTGCACTTTCAGGTCTCCTCACACTGCTGTGTGTTTCATTTTGTCATAGGATGCTGGCAGATTACGGCCCTCACATTGCTGCGGCAGGCCCCTAATCTGCCATGGGCCCCTGTACCGCCTCCTCACGCTGCTGCCAGGTCCACAGTGTGTCATGGGTCCCTGTACCGCCTCCCATTGCTGCTGTCTCCAACGCCACACTCTGCCATGTGCCACTTTCAGGTCTCCTCACACTGCTGCTGGTTTCCATTTTGTCATAGGTGCTGGCAGATTACGGCCTCCCATAGGTGCTGCGGCCAGGCCCCTAATCTGCCATGGGCCCCTGTACCGCCTCCTCACGCTGCTGCAAGGTCCACAGTGTGTCATGGGTCCCTGTACCGCCACTTTCCAGGCTCTCCCACACTCTGCCATGTGCCACTGTTTCCTCACACTTTTGTCATTTTGTCATAGGTGGCTGGCAGATTACGGGCCTCACATAGGTGCTGCCAGGCCCCAAATCTGCCATGGGCCCCCGTACCGCCTCGTCACGCTGCTGCTGGGTCCACAGTGTGTCATGGGTCCCTGTACGCCTCCCATTGCTGCTGTTTCCATCGCCCACACTCTGCCATGTGCCACTTTCAGGTCTCCTCACACTCCTGCTGGTTTCCATTTTGTCATAGGTTGCTGGCAGATTACAGGCCTCCCATAGGTGCTGCCAGGCCCCAAATCTGCCATGGGCCCCCGTACCGCCTCCTCACGCTGCTGCTGGGTCCACAGTGTGTCATGGGTCCCTGTACCGCCTCCCATTGCTCCCACTCTGCCATGTGCCACTTTCAGGTCTCCACACTGCTGCTGGTTTCCATTTTGTCATAGGTTGCTGGCAGATTACAGGCCTCCCATAGGTGCTGCCAGGCCCCAAATCTGCCATGGGCCCCCGTACCGCCTCGTCACGCTGCTGCTGGGTCCACAGTGTGTCATGGGTCCCTGTACCGCCTCCCATTGCTCCCACTCTGCCATGTGCCACTTTCAGGTCTCCTCACACTCCTGCTGGTTTCCATTTTGTCATAGGTTGCTGGCAGATTACAGGCCTCCCATAGGTGCTGCCAGGCCCCAAATCTGCCATGGGCCCCCGTACCGCCTGGTCACGCTGCTGCTGCTGGGTCCACAGTGTGTCATGGGTCCCTGTACCGCCTCCCATTGCTCCCACTCTGCCATGTGCCACTTTCAGGTCTCCTCACACTCCTGCTGGTTTCCATTTTGTCATAGGTTGCTGGCAGATACAGGCCTCCCATAGGTGCTGCCAGGCCCCAAATCTGCCATGGGCCCCCGTACCGCCTGGTCACGCTGCTGCTGGGTCCACAGTGTGTCATGGGTCCCTGTACCGCCTCCCATTGCTCCCACTCTGCCATGTGCCACTTTCAGGTCTCCTCACACTCCTGCTGGTTTCCATTTTGTCATAGGTTGCTGGCAGATTACAGGCCTCCCATAGGTGCTGCCAGGCCCCAAATCTATGGGCCCCCGTACCGCCTGGTCACGCTGCTGCTGGGTCCACAGTGTGTCATGGGTCCCTGTACCGCCTCCCATTGCTCCCACTCTGCCATGTGCCACTTTCAGGTCTCCTCACACTCCTGCTGGTTTCCATTTTGTCATAGGTTGCTGGCAGATTACAGGCCTCCCATAGGTGCTGCCAGGCCCCAAATCTGCCATGGGCCCCCGTACCGCCTGGTCACGCTGCTGCTGGGTCCACAGTGTGTCATGGGTCCCTGTACCGCCTCCCATTGCTCCCACTCTGCCATGTGCCACTTTCAGGTCTCCTCACACTCCTGCTGGTTTCCATTTTGTCATAGGTTGCTGGCAGATTACAGGCCTCCCATAGGTGCTGCCAGGCCCCAAATCTGCCATGGGCCCCCGTACCGCCTGGTCACGCTGCTGCTGGGTCCACAGTGTGTCATGGGTCCCTGTACCGCCTCCCATTGCTCCCCACTCTGCCATGTGCCACTTTCAGGTCTCCTCACACTCCTGCTGGTTTCCATTTTGTCATAGGTTGCTGGCAGATTACAGGCCTCCCCATAGGTGCTGCCAGGCCCCAAATCTGCCATGGGCCCCCGTACCGCCTGGTCACGCTGCTGCTGGGTCCACAGTGTGTCATGGGTCCCTGTACCGCCTCCCATTGCTCCCACTCTGCCATGTGCCACTTTCAGGTCTCCTCACACTCCTGCTGGTTTCCATTTTGTCATAGGTTGCTGGCAGATTACAGGCCTCCCATAGGTGCTGCCAGGCCCCAAATCTGCCATGGGCCCCCGTACCGCCTGGTCACGCTGCTGCTGGGTCCACAGTGTGACATGGGTCCCTGTACCGCCTCCCATTGCTCCCACTCTGCCATGTGCCACTTTCAGGTCTCCTCCTCACACTCCTGCTGGTTTCCATTTTGTCATAGGTTGCTGGCAGATTACAGGCCTCCCATAGGTGCTGCCAGGCCCCAAATCTGCCATGGGCCCCCGTACCGCCTGGTCACGCTGCTGCTGGGTCCACAGTGTGTCATGGGTCCCTGTACCGCCTCCCATTGCTCCCACTCTGCCATGTGCCACTTTCAGGTCTCCTCACACTCCTGCTGGTTTCCATTTTGTCATAGGTTGCTGGCAGATTACAGGCCTCCCATAGGTGCTGCCAGGCCCCAAATCTGCCATGGGCCCCCGTACCGCCTGTCACGCTGCTGCTGGGGTCCACAGTGTGTCATGGGTCCCTGTACCGCCTCCCATTGCTCCCACTCTGCTCATGTGCCACTTTCAGGTCTCCTCACACTCCTGCTGCTGGTTTCCATTTTGTCATAGGTTGCTGGCAGATTACAGGCCTCCCATAGGTGCTGCCAGGCCCCAAATCTGCCATGGGCCCCCGTACCGCCTGGTCACGCTGCTGCTGGGGTCCACAGTGTGTCATGGGTCCCTGTACCGCCTCCCATTGCTCCCACTCTGCCATGTGCCACTTTCAGGTCTCCTCACACTCCTGCTGGTTTCCATTTTGTCATAGGTTGCTGGCAGATTACAGGCTCCCATAGGTGCTGCCAGGCCCCAAATCTGCCATGGGCCCCCGTACCGCCTCGTCACGCTGCTGCTGGGTCCACAGTGTGTCATGGGTCCCTGTACCGCCTCCCATTGCTCCATTGCTCCCACTCTGCCATGTGCCACTTTCAGGTCTCCTCACACTCCTGCTGGTTTTTTCCATTTTGTCATAGGTTGCTGGCAGATTACAGGCCTCCCATAGGTGCTGCCAGGCCCCAAATCTGCCATGGGCCCCCGTACCGCCTGGTCACGCTGCTGCTGGGTCCACAGTGTGTCATGGGTCCCTGTACCGCCTCCCATTGCTCCCATTCTGCCATGCCATGTGCCTTTTCAGGTCTCCACACTCCTGCTGGTTTCCATTTTGTCATAGGTTGCTGGCAGATTACAGGCCTCCCATAGGTGCTGCCAGGCCCCAAATCTGCCATGGGCCCCCGTACCGCCTGGTCACGCTGCTGCTGGGTCCACAGTGTGTCATGGGTCCCTGTACCGCCTCCCATTGCTCCCACTCTGCCATGTGCCACTTTCAGGTCTCCTCACACACTCCTGCTGGTTTCCATTTTGTCATAGGTTGCTGGCAGATTACAGGCCTCCCATAGGTGCTGCCAGGCCCCAAATCTGCCATGGGCCCCCGTACCGCCTGGTCACGCTGCTGCTGGGTCCACAGTGTGTCATGGGTCCCTGTACCGCCTCCCATTGCTCCCACTCTGCCATGTGCCACTTTCAGGTCTCCTCACACTCCTGCTGGTTTCCATTTTGTCATAGGTTGCTGGCAGATTACAGGCCTCCCATAGGTGCTGCCAGGCCCCAAATCTGCCATGGGCCCCCGTACCGCCTGGTCACGCTGCTGCTGGGTCCACAGTGTGTCATGGGTCCCTGTACCGCCTCCCATTGCTCCCCCTCTGCCTGCCATGTGCCACTTTCAGGTCTCCTCACACTCCTGCTGGTTTCCATTTTGTCATAGGTTGCTGGCAGATTACAGGCCTCCCATAGGTGCTGCAGGCCCAAATCTGCCATGGGCCCCCGTACCGCCTGGTCACGCTGCTGCTGGGTCCACAGTGTGTCATGGGTCCCTGTACCCACCTCCCATTGCTCCCACTCTGCCATGTGCCATTTTCAGGTCTCCTCACACTCCTGCTGGTTTCCATTTTGTCATAGGTTGCTGGCAGATTACAGGCCTCCCATAGGTGCTGCCAGGCCCCAAATCTGCCATGGGGCCCCCGTACCGCCTGGTCACGCTGCTGCTGGGTCCACAGTGTGTCATGGGTCCCTGTACCGCCTCCCATTGCTCCCACTCTGCCATGTGCCACTTTCAGGTCTCCTCACACTCCTGCTGGTTTCCCATTTTGTCATAGGTTGCTGGCAGATTACAGGCCTCCCATAGGTGCTGCCAGGCCCCAAATCTGCCATGGGCCCCCGTACCGCCTGGTCACGCTGCTGTGGGGTCCACAGTGTGTCATGGGTCCCTGTACCGCCTCCCATTGCTCCCACTCTGCCATGTGCCACTTTCAGGTCTCCTCACACTCCTGCTGGTTTCCATTTTGTCTAGGTTGCTGGCAGATTACAGGCCTCCCATAGGTGCTGCCAGGCCCCAAATCTGCCATGGGCCCCCGTACCGCCTCGTCACGCTGCTGCTGGGTCCACAGTGTGTCATGGGTCCCTGTACCGCCTCCCATTGCTCCCACTCTGCCATGTGCCACTTTCAGGTCTCCTCACACTCCTGCTGGTTTCCATTTTGTCATAGGGTGCTGTATGGCCTCCCATTGCTGCTGCCTCCACCGCCACACTGTGGCTCCAAACACTGGTTTTGGCCCCGTGACTGGCCAAATGAGTGAAGTGTGCGGTGATCCTAAGATCGACGGCACTCATCTGCATGTCATACTGACTGACAGTATTATTTCTCTTCCCCAGCAGACTCCAAGGGCATTTAAATTAAAGGTACAGTGTTCTGCACTAATATAAAGTCTCTCTGAAGCCTAGAAACACCCTTTTTTAAGTTAAATTCACCGCGAATATATTCGACTCGAATCAAAATTTTTTCCACGAATTCGCCGAATCAGTCGAATCGAATTTTTGAATACTTCGCTCATCTCTATAAATATTATTACAAATACCACGGCTAAAAATGTGCAAAAAAATGCTAAAAATTACCAAAAGCTGAACGTTCATATATAAAGTCCCAAATCCATACTTTCCATGTGAGCTAGTGAAAATAAGAAGTCGCCTGAAGAAAGAATCCATGTTCCAGGATCACACCACTGTAAAGAGTTATGAAGCTACTGTCAAAACAATTGGATCCTGGAGAAAAAGATCATAAGAGACCTGCTGCCCAGCAGCCACATTAAACATGTGTAATACATGCTGCCACGCCAGACAGAAATATGGCAGAGGTCTCCTAGCACTCCTCTGCTGCCATTTATAGCAATGTCTCTTCTCTACTTCCTATCACACTACTATGTAGTAGGAAGGGGCAGCAAGGCGCTTTATGATCTTTTTACAGGATCCAACTATTTGGTAAGGAGGTTCATAACCCTTTATAGTGGTGTGATCCTGGATCCTGGGATAATGGATTATCAATAATAACTAATTTTTGTATTGCTAATACAATGTTGATGTTTTAAAATAAAAGTTTATGATGTGACTATATAATTTCCTTAAAGTGATATTAAACATACATTACCAACTTTCTATAAATCATACTGTACCTATAGTTTACAATTCTAGTTGTTAGCAAGTAATAAAACTCTACCAAATACCTCAGTCACCTGACTTTTCACTGCTTGCTCCCAGCTGAAGTGAAAAATCAGGAGAAGGAGCATGGTGTAGCTGCTGCTGTATTGAAGATCTCTAGAGAAGTTGCTGTCCATCACAGTACTAGACACACCTCTCCAGCTATCTGCCTCCACTAGGTCATGAGATGATATAGATGTGGAGGAGGAGAGAGGGAAAGAGGAAAAGTAAATCCACGTTATGGAACCACCTCAAAAGGTGATGAAATAGTCACATGGGGCTGTTAGAGTAGGAAAAATGCAGTGAACAGCTTACACTTATACTCTGGTGGAGTACGTGCAGTAAACGTGGTAAAGCAACAGCATAAGGATTGGCTGCTATTGTGCAGCACTGGGTAATAGATACATTATGTAGTGATAAAGAAAAAACATACTTTAACACAACACAATATTAGGTTTAACACTTTCCCTATGGCCATATGCATATTTATGGACTCACAGAAGTGGGTCTTCTTCCATGGGTCCTCATATATGTCTGCTGTGTTATAGGAGCCAACTTTTGAGATCTACTTTGAAGTTGAGAGGAAAAGTCCTAAGGCAATCAGCAGCAATCTGCTTCTTGAAGGTGGCAGTATTACGACTAATGAAGACCTTGTCCCAAATTTGTGTGAACAGTGGATTCTGCCTGTGCAGTGGTGGAAGACAGGTTGGAGAAAGAACATGCTTTGGGGTTTTGGCCATATACAACTAAATAGCAGCCACAATTCAACCTTAAAGTCCATAAGTCTGGTGCAAGTTTGCAGTGCTCAGGAGGCTCCTGACAGCCATGATGGCATAATGAAGTTGTAGACCAGCACACACTAGTGGGATCATAATACTTTATTAAACACATGATTAAAACAACAAGAGTCTGTCAGGGCAGGAGCGGTGGAATGGGCAGGCAGGCCCAATGGTAAGGTCATGCAGCGACTGACGACAGCCGCTACTCACAGACCAGTGTCCCTCAAGGCGCAGAGTCTAAGCCCCAGGCTGCCCTTCACCAGGGCCCCTGATGGTGGGGATGGACTTGACGCAGCCTGTGACCAGGTCGCGGCCCCGAGTAACCCCAGCTGCGGTAACGACTGCCGCCAATGGCGTACAGCTGGTGGGAGCCAGATGGAAAACGTATAGCGTGGTCGGACAGGCTGGGTCGATGGGTCCGAGACAATCACCTTCGGCAACCCATGCAAGCGAAAGATCTCCCTGGCGAAAAAACCGTAGCCAGTTCTCACGCAGCCAGCAATTTCTTGAACGGAACGAAATGGCACATCTTGGAAAAACGATCACGAATCACCATAAGAATGACTGTATGGCCTTGAGACGCTGGGAGGTCCACAATAAATCCCATGCCTAGGTGTGACCAGGGATGCTCCCCATTGGGAATGGGTTGCAGAAGACCCAATGGAAGATGCAGAGGAGATTTATTCTGGGCACAAACCGAACATGCTGCTACGTATGAGGCGATGTCGGAATGGAGAGATGGCCACCAGAATAACCGAGAGATGACCCAGGACAACTGGTTCCTACCTGGATGGCCGGCAGCCTTGGAATTATGGTAGGCACGTAGCAAGCGGGTGCGCAATCCCTCAGGTACGAAACATCTTCCAGCCGGTCTCTCAGGAGGAGCATCAGTTTGAGCTGCCAAAATCTGCTCCCCAAGGGGAGAAGCCAGGTTGGTACGAATGGCAGCCAGGATCTGGTCCGGAGGTATGACCAAGGTCGGCTCAGAGTCCTCCCTGGACAGCTCAGTGTATTGCCGTGACAACGCATCAGCCCCGACATTCCTGGAGCCAGGCAAATAGGAGACCACATAGTTGAAACATGACAAGAAAAAGAGCCCATCTGGTCTGACGGGGCATCAACCTCTTAGCCTCCGAGAGGTACGTCAAGTTCTTGTGGTCCGTGAGAATGAGAACCGGAACCACAGCACCCTTCGAGCAGGTGCCTCCATTCCTTGAGAGCCTGAATAATGGCCAACAACTCCGTGTCTCCAATCTGGTAGTTGTATTCTGCAGAGGAAAGCTTCCTGGAGTAGAACCCACAGGGAAGTAGGGGTCCATCGGGTGACCGACGCTGAGACAAGAGGGTGCCTACTCCCGTCTCAGATGCATCGACCTCGAGGACAAAAGGCAACCCAGGATTGGGATGAGACAGTATCGGAGCCGAAGCAAAGGCGAATTTCAGAGCTTCAAAAGCTAAGATGGCCTCGGGTGACCACTCGTGAGGATTACTACCCTTCTTGGTCAGATCTGAGAGAGGCTTGGCCAGAGAGGTTACTGATAAACTTCCAATAATAGTTGGCGAATCCCAAAAAGCGAAAGTAGACTTGCGAATGTGCCCCCAGGAAAGCGCATCCGCAACGTAGCCCTCCATGGCCTGATTCTCTGCAACCGAAAGGGGATACACCCTGCCACGCAGAGGAGTGGCACCGGGTTGTAAGGCTTTGGCACAATCGTACAGACGATGAGGAGGCAGAGCACCAGCGTGCACCTTGTCAAATACGTCCAGGTACTCCCCATATTCAGTGGGCAACACAGAATCCGAGGAGGCGCACACAACATCTTAACAGGTCCACGGATACAACCAGCCCCACCATGAGAGAATCTCGGCCGACCGCCAATCAAAGGTCGGATTGTGCTTCTGAAGCCAGGGATAGCCCAAAACCACGGAGTAGTGCGGGGAAGAAATTACCTGGAAATAGGCCATCTCCCTTGAACAGCCCCACCAGCTACTTCAACCGGCAGGGTCTCTTGGGTAACCTGTGACGGTTGCAGGGGCCTGCCATCTATCGCCTCGAGGACCAATGGAGTAACTCGAGCCTGCAGAGGAATGGAGTACTGGGCAGCAAACGAACTGTCCATAAACAACCCGCCAGCACCAGAGTCTACCAACGCCTGGGCCGTCACCGAGCCTCCCGCCCAGGAGAGGACAACGGTGATTAACGGTTTATCTTTACGGGAAATCAGGGACGAGGAAACTCCACCCAAGATCTGCCCCTGACAGGATCTCAGGTGCGAGCATTTCCCGGACGGACCGGACAGGACTGACAAAAATGCCCACCAAGACCACAGTACAGGCAGCGACCCTCCCGACGCCGAGAGGCCCGCTCGCCCTCGGAAGGGCGAGCAAATCCCAGCTTCATGGGCTCACTAGCAGACAAGCCATCCCCAGGAGGCGTGGGAGGAGAGGGAGGCACGGGTGGGACAGAAAACGTAGGCACCAATCGGTTAGGGGGCCTCCACAGATGCTCCTTAAATAAAGGCCTTTCTCTGAGCCTGGTGTCAATCAAGATTAGGAAGGAAATGAGTGCCTCTAGCTCCACAGGCAGTTCTTTGGCTGCGATCTCATCCTTCAATGCATCTGAGAGACCATGAGAGAAAGCAGCCACCAGAGCCTCATTGTTCCAACCCACCTCTGCCGCCAGGGTACGAAATTCTATGGCGTACTCGGCACGGTTCGTGAACCCTGATGTATGGACATGAGCAACTTGGCAGCAGAGGCGGAGCGAGCAGGCACATCGAATACCGTGCGGAAGGAGGCAACGAAACGGGCAAACTCGTGGATCACCGGGTCATTCCTCTCCCATAATGGATTAGCCCAGGCCAAGGCCCTATCTGAGAGTAGCGAGATTAGGAAGCGCACCTTTGACCTCTCAGTAGGGAAAGCGTAAGGTATTAGCTCAAAGCAAATGCCCACTTGGTTAAGGAAACCATGACACTGACTCGGCTCACCCCCAAAGCGCTGTGGAAGAGGGGCAGAACCAGTCATAACTCTGGGCACCGTGGGTTCAGCAACAGATGCGGAGGTAGGCGCAACCACTGGAGCAGCAGTCGGTGCGTCCACCGGAGTAACCACTGACCTAATAGCCCCAGGAGTAAGGTGTGCTGTGCATGCCAGCAGAGCCTGCAACGCCTGAGCAAACTGATCCAACAAGAGATCCTGTTGATCAAGTCTGGCGAGTAACATAGGGAGCGAAGGCGTACCTGCACTGTAAGGATTCATGGCATTCGTGTAATGTCAGGGCAGGAGCGGTGGAATGGGCAGGCAGGCCTAATGGTAAGGTCACGCAGCGACTGACGACAGCCACTACTCACAGACCAGAGTCCCTCAGGGCGCGGAGTCTAAGCCCAAGGCTGCCCTTCACCAGGGCCCCTGATGGTGGGGATGGACTTGACGCAACCTGTGACCAGGTCGCGGCCCCCGAGTAACCCCAGCTGCGGTAATGACTGCCGCCAATGGCGTACAGCTGGTGGGAGCCAGATGGAAAACATATAGCGTGGTCGGACAGGCCGGGTCGATAACAATGGAGCAAACAGTACAAGATGGTAGACAAGAATACTCAGGTCACGGGCCGGGTTCAGCAACGGGAGGTCAGGTAATGGGATAAAGCCGAGAATAGTCTTGTCCAAGCCGAGTCGGTTACCAGGAGAGCAACGAGAACAGAACAAGAGCTTGCTGCAAAGGAACATACAGGACACGAATGCAAAGAGCAACTGCAGACAGCAGGCTTAAATGTGTTCAGCCACACCCTTCTGGAGGAGGAGCTGCAGAGGCCTGAAAGCATAAAGGCTCCCACCATGCTTTGCAGTAACTTAAGATGGATGCCAGCACATGGAGCAACACAATCTCTTAAGAAAGGTAGGACCTTGACAGAGTCCTTCCTTGTCACAAAACATCTGAGAAAATTATCTAACGACTGGCTTGTGATCTTGGTCTACTTGGTCTAAAAGGCTAAAAATATGTCATACCATACTTTTCATACCAGAACAAGGCTTTCCATCTTTCAATAAAATGTTCATTTTTGTGTGCTATTGAATCTTGAATGCGTAAGGTACTTATGGGCATATACAGTATTTATAATCTAATCGTGGTTTAGTTTTTTAGTTTTTTCTTCCTTTTTTGGGATTAGATTAGCTAATCAATGGAGGTTACTGTATTTCTACTTTATGAAATCTTTGGTTAACTTATACATACCTTTTTTTATATCATTCTAGTGATTATTTTATCTATAACCCTGAGATCTAAGGTCCTGAGTAAGCAGGCCATCCCCCGAAATGCGTTGACCTACATGCAAAGATCTCTGAGGATTTCAAATGCCACAGTCCCTCCATTATTACAAGTGGGAGACAAGCATTAGAACCTACGTCCTATTTTTCAAATGTTTTTTATTGCAAATAATGTATTTTTAAATTACTGGAATAAAGCTATGTCATAATCTTTTTAATAAATGTGTCATGCGCATATTTAACTATTGGAGGGGTACTCAAAATCCTAGTACTTTGTTTTTCCAACTATATACTACTTCTGACCAGCTCAGTAGATTGTTTAAAAAAAGGCCTGGGTTCTTTCCTAAATGTACACAATATAACTAGATACTAATATTTATAGGTAAAGTTGATCCAGGAAATATCCAGTTGTCTCTTGGGGGATCAGGAAGGAATTTTTCCCCTGCTGGAGCAAATTGGATCATGCTTTATTGTGGTTTTTGCCTTCCTCTGGATCAACTGTGGGTATAGGATTGTGTAAATAGGATTATATATATTTTTTTCCCTTTTGTTGGTTGAACCAGACTAACTATGTAACTATGTACTAATTTGTCTGGGAACAAGTATGAGGATAGCATATGGAAAAATAGAAGAGACTGATACCAAGCATAGAACGGACGGCTTTCCAAAACCTGGTCACAAGGTGAGAGCTACAATTGGAGATTATATTAGGTGGAAAGCCATTGGATCCTGGAAATCTCTTTAATGAAAAGTGATGCAAATTACCTGGTAGTGGAGAGCTTAAAAAGAGAAACAAAATGTGCCATTTTACTTAACTGTCAACAATGACTCAAATCATAGTGTCAGCCTGATATGGAAGTAGATCCAGAACAAAAATGTATTGTACAGTGAGTCCATGTATGAATGTGTATTGAGTTGCTAGAGATAATAAGTAACCAGCAGGTCTTGTCCTGGGCGATTTAGAGCATGCACAGACTTCACATGAATTCACAAAACAATGGCATTATACATGTAGCCTCCCTGACGGTATTCCCGAGTGTAGCTTGGGGTAAAGTTTCAGTACCAAAAGCGGTAACCCCGAGCTACACTTGGGCTTACCATGCGGAGTTGCTCCGGTATCTGTTCTTCACTTACCTTGTCCTGCGCTCCCGCGATGTCCCTCCTGCAGTGTCCCTGGCAATGTAATTCGGTGGATGCCGGCATCTGTCATCTGGGTTCCGTCCCCTGCGAGCGTCGGGACGTATGAGGGACGGAACTGGCAGGAAATTTGAAAATGACAAAAAGTGACATTCACTAAATACACTAAAATCACATAGTAAAACATTACTGTATCAAACCATTTCACATACATTTTGCCCCTAGTGCTTTATCCTGTGCCCTGCCTGCATTTTTACTGTTCTTTCTGCCTGGAAACTGAGAAACGTCCCTGGCGTCCAAAAAGCGTCCCTTTAGGTCAAAAGCGGTTTTAGACCAGCTAGAGAACAGTGATAGTAAATTAGAACCACTTGCAAAATTGAGTGATAATGATTTGTGGGGAAATTCATCATCAGACACTGAAAACGATTTTGCGACTTTGCTCAGTGATGTGTGAACTTGGCGCTCTATTTCAAATTTCAGTGTTTTTGGTTTGATTATATTATTAAATTAAATTTATTATTATTATATTATTATTTTTTATGATTATTTACTACATTATAATTTATGATTTAGTGTTTCAAATTGTATCATACCCGGGATGTTTACTAGCCTCTTGTTCGGACAGATTTCAGTGAGTTATTCCTAAAAATGACAGGCCTACAATAAAAAAAAATACATATTTCCATGCAAACAAAATGTACCGCTTTGAGCACAGAACCTGGTCAGAAAATACAGTCATGGCCAAAAATATTGGCCCCCCCTGCATTTCTGTCAGATAATGCACCACTTTGCCCAGAAAATTGTTTATCTATTTTGTTTGTATTGGAATGACACAAAAAAGTGGTGAAACAAAAAGCCAAATTTGACACATTCCACACAAAACCCAAAAAACGGACTAGACAAAATTATTAGTACCTTCGCAAAATTGTAAGAAATAATTGCATTCCAAGTTTGCGATGCTCCTGTAATTTTTAAATAAACTCACCTGTATCAATTAACAGGTTCTGACAATATAGAAATCACACCAACAACCAGTTAAAATGTTGAAAAACTGACACAACCTTTCTGTTGTGTTTCTCTGTATGCCACAAGGACCTTGGAAAAGAGAAAGAGCAGCAAAGAATTGTTTGAGGATTTGAGAACATAAATTGTGGAAAAGCATGGACAATCTCAAGGTTACAAGTCCATTTCCAGAGATCTTAATTAGAGATGAGCGAAGTATTCAAAAATTCGATTCGACTGATTCGGCGAATTCGTGGAAAAAATTTGATTCGAGTCGAATATATTCGCTGTGAATTTAACTTAAAAAAGGGGTGTTTCTAGGCTTCAGAGAGCCTTTATATTAGTGCAGAACACTGTACCTTTAATTTAAATGCCCTTGGAGTCTGCTGGGGAAGACAAATAATACTGTCAGTCAGTATGATGACATGCAGATGAGTGCCGTCGATCTTAGAATCACCGCACACTTCACTCATTTGGGCAGTCACGGGGCCAAAACCAGAGTTTGGAGCCACAGTGTGGCGGTGGAGGCAGCAGCAATGGGAGGCCATACAGCACCCTATGACAAAATGGAAACCAGCAGGAGTGTGAGGAGACCTGAAAGTGGCACATGGCAGAGTGTGGCGATGGAGAACAGCAGCAATGGGAGGCGGTACAGGGACCCATGACACACTGTGGACCTAGCAGCAGCAGCGTGACGACGAGGCGGTACGGGGGCCCATGGCAGATTTGGGGCCTGGCAGCACCTATGGGAGGCCTGTAATCTGCCAGCAACCTATGACAAAATGGAAACCAGCAGGAGTGTGAGGAGACCTGAAAGTGGCACATGGCAGAGTGTGTGGCGATGGAGACAGCAGCAATGGGAGGCGGTACAGGGACCCATGACACACTGTGGACCCAGCAGCAGCGTGACGAGGCGGTACGGGGGCCCATGGCAGATTTGGGGCCTGGCAGCACCTATGGGAGGCCTGTAATCTGCCAGCAACCTATGACAAAATGGAAACCAGCAGGAGTGTGAGGAGACCTGAAAGTGGCACATGGCAGAGTGTGGCGATGGAGACAGCAGCAATGGGAGGCCGTACAGGGACCCATGACACACTGTGGACCCAGCAGCAGCGTGACGAGGCGGTACGGGGGCCCATGGCAGATTTGGGGCCTGGCAGCACCTATGGGAGGCCTGTAATCTGCCAGCAACCTATGACAAAATGGAAACCAGCAGGAGTGTGAGGAGACCTGAAAGTGGCACATGGCAGAGTGTGGCGATGGAGACAGACAGCAGCAATGGGAGGCGGTACAGGGACCCATGACACACACTGTGGACCCAGCAGCAGCAGTGACGAGGCGGTACGGGGGCCCATGGCAGATTTGGGGCCTGGCAGCACCTATGGGAGGCCTGTAATCTGCCAGCAACCTATGACAAAATGGAAACCAGCAGGAGTGTGAGGAGACCTGAAAGTGGCACATGGCAGAGTGTGGCGATGGAGACAGCAGCAATGGGAGGCCGTACAGGGACCCATGACACACTGTGGACCCAGCAGCAGCAGCGTGACGAGGCGGTACGGGGGCCCATGGCAGATTTGGGGCCTGGCAGCACCTATGGGAGGCCTGTAATCTGCCAGCAACCTATGACAAAATGGAAACCAGCAGGAGTGTGAGGAGACCTGAAAGTGGCACATGGCAGAGTGTGGCGATGGAGACAGCAGCAATGGGAGGCGGTACAGGGACCCATGACACACTGTGGACCTTGACCCAGCAGCAGCGTGACGAGGCGGTACGGGGGCCCATGGCAGATTTGGGGCCTGGCAGCACCTATGGGAGGCCTGTAATCTGCCAGCAACCTATGACAAAATGGAAACCAGCAGGAGTGTGAGGAGACCTGAAAGTGGCACATGGCAGAGTGTGGCGATGGAGACAGCAGCAATGGGAGGCCGTACAGGGGGACCCATGACACACTGTGGACCCAGCAGCAGCGTGACGAGGCGGTACGGGGGCCCATGGCAGATTTGGGGCCTGGCAGCACCTATGGGAGGCCTGTAATCTGCCAGCAACCTATGACAAAATGGAAACCAGCAGGAGTGTGTGAGGAGACCTGAAAGTGGCACATGGCAGAGTGTGGCGATGGAGACAGCAGCAATGGGAGGCCGTACAGGGACCCATGACACACTGTGGACCCAGCAGCAGCAGCAGCGTGACGAGGCGGTACGGGGGCCCATGGCAGATTTGGGGCCTGGCAGCACCTATGGGAGGCCTGTAATCTGCCAGCAACCTATGACAAAATGGAAACCAGCAGGAGTGTGAGGAGACCTGAAAGTGGCACATGGCAGAGTGTGGCGATGGAGACAGCAGCAATGGGAGGCCGTACAGGGACCCATGACACACTGTGGACCCAGCAGCAGCGTGACGAGGCGGTGACGAGGCGGTACGGGGGCCCATGGCAGATTTGGGGCCTGGCAGCACCTATGGGAGGCCTGTAATCTGCCAGCAACCTATGACAAAATGGAAACCAGCAGGAGTGTGAGGAGACCTGAAAGTGGCACATGGCAGAGTGTGGCGATGGAGACAGCAGCAATGGGAGGCGGTACAGGGACCCATGACACACTGTGGACCCAGCAGCAGCGTGACGAGGCGGTACGGGGGCCCATGGCAGATTTGGGGCCTGGCAGCACCTATGGGAGGCCTGTAATCTGCCAGCAACCTATGACAAAATGGAAACCCAGCAGGAGTGTGAGGAGACCTGAAAGTGGCACATGGCAGAGTGTGGCGATGGAGACAGCAGCAATGGGAGGCGGTACAGGGACCCATGACACACTGTGGACCTAGCAGCAGCGTGACGAGGCGGTACGGGGGCCCATGGCAGATTTGGGGCCTGGCAGCACCTATGGGAGGCCTGTAATCTGCCAGCAACCTATGACAAAATGGAAACCAGCAGGAGTGTGAGGAGACCTGAAAGTGGCACATGGCAGAGTGTGGCGATGGAGACAGCAGCAATGGGAGGCCGGTACAGGGACCCATGACACACTGTGGACCCAGCAGCAGCGTGACGAGGCGGTACACGGGGGCCCTGGCAGATTTGGGGCCTGGCAGCACCTATGGGAGGCCTGTAATCTGCCAGCAACCTATGACAAAATGGAAACCAGCAGGAGTGTGAGGAGACCTGAAAGTGGCACATGGCAGAGTGTGGCGATGGAGACAGCAGCAATGGGAGGCCGTACAGGGACCCATGACACACTGTGGACCTAGCAGCAGCGTGACGAGCGTGACGGTGGCGGGTACGGGGGCCCATGGCAGATTTGGGGCCTGGCAGCACCTATGGGAGGCCTGTAATCTGCCAGCAACCTATGACAAAATGGAAACCAGCAGGAGTGTGAGGAGACCTGAAAGTGGCACATGGCAGAGTGTGGCGATGGAGACAGCAGCAATGGGAGGCCGTACAGGGACCCATGACACACTGTGGACCTGCAGCAGCAGCGTGAGGAGGCGGTACGGGGGCCCATGGCAGATTTGGGGCCTGGCAGCACCTATGGGAGGCCTGTAATCTGCCAGCAACCTATGACAAAATGGAAACCAACCAGGAGTGTGAGGAGACCTGAAAGTGGCACATGGGCAGAGTGTGGCGATGGAGACAGCAGCAATGGGAGGCGGTACAGGGACCCATGACACACTGTGGACCCAGCAGCAGCGTGAGAGGCGGTACGGGGGGCCCATGGCAGATTTGGGGCCTGGCAGCACCTATGGGAGGCCTGTAATCTGCCAGCAACATATGACAAAATGGAACACACCAGCAGGAGTGTGAGGAGACCTGAAAGTGGCACATGGCAGAGTGTGGCGATGGAGACAGCAGCAATGGGAGGCGGTACAGGGACCCATGACACACTGTGGACCTAGCAGCAGCGTGAGGAGGCGGTACGGGGGCCCATGGCAGATTAGGGGCTGGCTGGCAGCAGCAATGTGAGGCCCGTAATCTGCCAGCATCCTATGACAAAATGGAACACACCAGCAGTGTGAGGAGACCTGAAAGTGGCACATGGCATGACACACTGACCTTGCAGCAGCAGCAGAGGAGGCGGTACAGGGGCCCATGGCAGATTAGGGGCCTGGCCGCAGCAATGTGAGGCCCGTAATCTGCCAGCATCCTATGACAAAATGGAACCAGCAGCAGTGTGAGGAGACCTGAAAGTGGCACATGGCATGGACACACTGTGGACCTTGGACACAGCAGCAGCATGAGGAGGCGGTACAGGGGCCCATGGCAGATTAGGGGCCTGGCCGCAGCAATGGAGGCCCGTAATCTGCCAGCATCCTATGACAAAATGGAACCCCAGCAGCAGTGTGAGGAGACCTGAAAGTGGCACATGGCATGACACACTGTGGGGCCTGGCAGCAGCAATGAGGAGGCGTACAGGGGCCCATGGGAGGCAGATTAGGGGCCTGGCAGCAGCAATGTGAGGCAGTAATCTGCCAGCATCCTATGACAAAATGGAACACACCAGCAGTGTGAGGAGACCTGAAAGTGGCACATGGCATGACACACTGTGGACCTGGCAGCAGCGTGAGGAGGCGGTACAGGGGCCCATGGCAGATTAGGGGCCTGGCAGCAGCTATGGGAGGCCCGTAATCTGCCAGCACCCTATGACAAAAAATGGAAACACAGCAGCAGTGTGAGGAGACCTGAAAGTGGCACATGGCAGGGGCATGATTCATGGCGGATTTAGTCAGTTGTGTCAGGAACTGGTGGTTTGAAATCCAGACTAATCCACGCCTGATTCATTTTCACAAACGTGAGTCTCTCCACACTTTGGGTGGACAGTCGTGTCCTCCGCGGAGTTACAATACCTCCTGCCGCACTAAACACGCGCTCCGATGCCACGCTACTGGCCGGGCATGACAGCCTTTCAAGGGCAAATTCAGCTAGTTGGGGCCAAAGGTCAAGTTTCGTTGCCCAGTAGTCAAGGGGATTGTCTACCTCGGTTGGCAGGGTGCTGTCCAAGTAGGCCCAAGCCTGTTGTTTGAGCTCCTGCTCCAGGTCCACCTGATGCTGCTGCTGCTGCTGCGGCTGGTTAGTAGTTTCCTCACTGCGCTGGTGAAGAAAGCTACTCATCATCGACTGCAGACTGAGGCAGCCGCTGTGGTGGGAGCTGCCACTGCTCCTACCACCCCACCCCTCCCTGCTGCCATGGCAGCGGAACGCGAGCGCACAGGGCCCACAGTGTCTGAGGATGGACGTTGGCGCAGAAAGGCAGAGACCAACTGACTACATAGGTGGTTTTTATATAGTACGTTATTTTGGCCTCCCTCTCAGCAGGTGTGAAAAAGGCCACCATTTTTGAACGGTAGCGAGGGTCCAACAAGGTGGACAGCCAAAAGTCATCCCTCTGTCTGATGGTTATTATTCGGCTGTCGCTACGCAAGCAACCGAGCATGCTATGGGCCATTTGTGCCAAGGAATGCGAGGGACTCCCTGCCTCCATCTCCACAGCTTACTGCCCACGGTGCGTCTGGCCTTGTCTCCTCCTCCTCCTCCTCTACCAGATGCTCCTGCTCCTCCACTCCTGTCCGCTGAGTGGAAAAAAACCACCCATTTCACTCAATAATTCCTGAGCACAAATGTCCTCCTCTACCTCCTCTCTTCTTCCTGTCAACTGCCCCCACAGGGGTCATTATGGCGTTGAGATCTGTGCGCCTAACGGTCTTACGCACCCTGACAGACCATTGTTAACCAGCATTTGTTCCAGGACGTGCAAACAGAGGAATGACGTCGTTCATCCCATAGTCCTGCCGACTCACGAATAGCGTTGGCCTCCTCAAAGGGCCTGAGCAAAGCGGCAGGTGGGGCACGCATGAGCTGCCATGGGCTGACATCGAAGGTACAGGGGAGTGAGTACCTTTATCCGCTTGTAACTTATCAGGAAATCGGTGATGGCCTTTTCGCTGTTCCCGTAAAGGCGGTCATCTAACATGTGTAGGGTTGTAATTCCACCTTGTTGCAACGTCGCAGATCAGGCGATGATGTGGAATTTCCGTTCTGCCGGCTGCAGCTCAATGAGGGTGTGCTTTGCGGTTGTAGGAATGGCTGAAATGCATGCAAAGTTTACGTGACATTTTAAGGATGTCTTGCAGTGGGATGGTGGGGGTATTTTAGGTAACCGCTTTACAACCAGATTGAACCGTGAGCCATGCATGGCGCATGGGCACAACCTTCCTTGACGCAGAGCTAGACACCATGTTCTTTCCGTTGTCGGTCAACATGGTTCCGATTTTCAGTTTGCGCGGAGACAGCCATTCTGTCGATTTCTCTGTTCATTACACTGAGAAGTTCCTCCCCTGTGTGACTGACGTTCGCCAAGGAATACCAGGTGCAGAACAGCGGCTGACACCGTTGCGCCATGCACATGTGATTCGATACCGGTCGGGGTTAATGGGGTTTTTAGGACTTGGGGGGGGGTGGCGGCTGAAGGGACACGGCTGGCAGAAGATAGGTGGTAGAGGGCCGGACATCTTTTGTGGGACCAAAGGACGTGCTAAACGTGGAGGCAAAGAGCGGCCAACGTGACCTGTCCAAGTTGCTGGTGCAGGCTGTGACGGGCACCACGTTTACACCCCAGTGGGCACGTAAATGACATGTACTGTCCCCTGACGTAGTTACAGCTCCAACTCACACGTCGGTGCGCTGCCGGTGCACTTTGGCAGAGGACCGGACATGCTCTCAAAGACTGGTCCCACCATCTCTTCTACATGTGAATGCAAGGGCTGGCACTGCCCGTTTTTTGGCGGATAGGAAATGACGGCTTGGGCACTCTCACACGCGCGGCGCGGCACAGCCCAATGCTTTTTCTCGGGAAAAGGTGCTGAGTCCACCACTTGGAAACTGGGAGGGAATGCAGCAACCCAGCAACTTGGAACAAGGAGGACGTTCAGCTTTTGCATCCCGTCGGGTGCAGTGCTCGCCAAAACTGTTGTCTCTTGGAAACGGATTCCAAGAGGAAAAGATGTTGACGGAATCCGTGGAAGAGAGGTCAGTTAGCAGGAGAAGGCCAGGCATTTCTGACACGAGCGGAAGATGCCATACGCAGCGATCGCTCATCTACTCCCACTCAGCAGAGGTTGTTGGAGCCTTGACTGAGCTGATAGGGAGGGCGAATTGAGGTCGGGTGACGGAGCAAGTAACGGAAGCGGGTGATGGAGCGGGGGCTGGGGAGCAGACCGCAGTAACCGCAGTATCTTTATCACGGTTTTTCCCAGGCCACCAAATGGCGACGCTGCAATATGCTGACGCATAACGCTGTAAGTCACCTAACATGGGCCCCCATGGCAACGCATGAGCTTTCTGGCAACATAGTCGACCCTTACGGCTACGTTTACTTCCTCGGGCGGGCTTGACGAAAAATTGCCACACAACTCAGATAAGTTAGAGCGGAAATCACGCCTTGCCCCCGCTACTGGTCTCACTGGGCTGACTGCTATTTCCTGGCTGTGCACGTACCAGCACCCACTACTGGCCGTGGCCTGGTGCGTACGGCTGCAGTTGGCGCTGGGTGCATCTTCTCCGTGGCACGTTTTGGCTTCACTGGACCACTGGCTTGCGACCCTGCTGCCCTCGCTGGGCAATCCCAGCGAATGTTTCTCGCTTCGCTGCCAAGCTTGGCACCCCTCTTCATCCTGATTGATGCGGAAGAAAGAATTTGGGAATTGATGACCGACGAGGGCTTGCCAATGTAGGTGCGATCAACCTCCTCATCATTAAAGTAGGGTCCTCTGCCTCACTACTAGCCCCCCTCGGCTGCGTTTGGGTACAGGAGGACAACAGACCTGTCTCTAGACCGGCTTACTCGAGCCACTATCTCCTCGCCACTACTTCTTCGCCTGGCTGCTG